GGCGTGCGTCCTGTCTCCTTTTGTTACGGCATTAACGAACGTTCGACGATACGTATCTACATGCGCATCGTCCACGTGAGAGTTTACGAAATTCGAGATATGTATATTCATGCTTGTTACGGAAAAAATGTCGCAATGACACGGTGGGTGAACGCGTTTATGAGAAAAAGTATTCTATTGAAATCTTTAAAATAATCCCGCGAACCATCGGTGAAAAAAAAAAAAAAAATAAATAGAGATAATAAAATGCTATAACATATAATTTTTAATTTAATTTCTTTAATAAAATGCAGAGAAATTAGTTTCTTAATATCTTCTGAGAGAAATGATTTATATTTCTCGTGCACTATAAAACTTAAATATTTAAAGATCTTGATATGATGTTTTGACAAGAAAGCACCTCAGAAAAATTAAAATAGTAGAGTTAATAAACTATTTCTCTTTTACGGGCTAGCTTGTTTCATTTTGCCAATTATAATCCATGTGTTAAATCTTTATCATTAAATCTTTACGATCGCGAAGAGGAAACCGAAATATCGAAACTATATTTTTTTAACATGTTTTTAAAGCTATGATTCTTTCGACATAATCACGTGGAATAAATATACATCCGTGTGTAAATGGGTTAATTACTTCAGCACGCGCATAAATTACACTGAGCTGGTCATTTTGGCGCAGAGAATATATTGAGCGCACTGTTATTTTCCTTCTTTTTTTTCTTTTTCTCTTTTCTCTAAAGAAGAAAAAAATATCGAAACAGGCGCGAACTAACGGCCGTGGGTTGTAAAATACACAGTACAAATTTATTGCGAGAATATGGGAGAAACGTGCGCGCCGGCGAATGAATACGTTTCTAAGTTCCTCGTTTTAACGAGCGTATTAAGTACGTAACGGGGCCTTCTAGTCGCGAGTCGTTATCGGTGTATCGCGATGGATACACTCGATAGTTACGCGACCAACTAACTAAAGAGCGCCTCAACGTGATAAAACTAATCTCCAATTCCGTACTCGCAGACCAGAAAAAAATCGACTAATCACATGTTTTTTTCATTATAACGAAGACGAGTTCGAAAAACTCGGCCCCTCAAAAGGCACTTTACGCGTGTAAGAAAAATTAAATATGATATATAGGGTGATTTAAGCGCTCGAAGAACTACACACTGAGATTAACATCTTTGAAAACAACTAGAATAAAAAAGTCGATGTGTCAGTCAACTGCAGATGTGATGATTAAGCGATAAGAGAACTCTTAAAGTATATATTTAAAAACTTTAAAAACTTATAAAAAAATTTTATGAGTTTCTTATCGCATTATTGTTTGGTTGCTTTAAATTTGTGCATATTTATTTAGTTTTTAGATTTTTTAGATTAGTGAACATTTTTTTCTGAGAACTTTATATCGTTTTTACGCCTCCAAAAATGTGCTTTAATATTATTATATTTTTCAATAAAAATAAAAATAAACTAATAAATTTATATATTAATAAAAATATAAAAATCGATACTTCCTACTGTAAATAAGAGAGAATATTAAACTTGACAGATTGTACTCATCAATAGTGTTTAAAAAGTTCGTTTCACATCTGAAAGATACGGATATTGGATTCAGCTGAGGTCTAACAAATTACAAATAATCATTCTAGCGTTAATAAAGATCTGCAACGCGAGTCTCTACGCATCGTTTTCAACTCGCTCACACTTTGTTCGTTCTCGCCTTTAAAATAAATTGCACTTCGCGTTTCGCGGGGCGATAACTCACGCATCGTCGCGCGTACGTACACACGGCCATAGTCACCACCACACCATCATCATCATCATTATCATCATCCTCGAATAGAAAAGGAAGACGGGGGAAAAGCGCCAGGGTCCCGAAGTAAACGCACCATCCCGTCCCGAGCGCTCGCAATTAAGGGTTAATTAAATTGAGCGGCTTCCTAGATTTCTGTAATCATCGCGGACAGTATCTACGGGGTAATCTTCAGCGCATCCTGTCTGCCTCGAGGGCCCCACGGAAGGAAGGGGCCCCCGAGGTAAGGTCATGCACCCCGCTGACCTCGGACCATCGTCCCTCCCCTCCCTCTAGGTCCTCCTTTCCCCTTTCCATCCCTCCTCTCGTCGTTCTTCCACCTTCTTTTCTCCGCCCCGTTGCTTCTCTCCTCTCGCTCCTTCAAGTCCTCTCCCCCTTCATCCACCTCTCGCCTTCTCTACCTTCTCCCGTTGCGCTGCCGTTGCTGTTGCTGCTCCTGCTGCTGCCGGCGGTACAGGGCAACCCCCCTTGCCCATATCACCCTCTCTTTCCCGCGGCCCTCCGCCCTTCGTGCACTCTCCTTCTCCTTTTCTTCCGCCTCTTCCTCTTCTTCATCTTCTTCTTCCTCTGCTTCCTCCGCTCTCCTATCTATCCTTTTCTTTTCTTTTTCTTCCTCTCTTTCCTTCCCGTGCGTCTTCCGTGTGAGCATATACGGCACATATAGGGGCCAGGTGAGTGTATACAAAGTTATGTGCCCCGCGCTCGCGAGCGACTCGAATTATTATCAAAGACCGGGGCATCATCGCGGATAATGGGCGGATGTCGCTGTGACAGGGCATAAAACGCGACGTCTTCTCTGCACTTCTCGTGTCTACGTTCCTGTGGGAAAAACTGCATCGCGGGCAGGCGTGCCGCCGTCTCTCGTGCGAATAATCGTGCGCGAGTTTCCCTTTCGCGAAGTGCTTACTTCTCTTTCGTTCATAATATTAGAGAATGTGCGGCGCGTCTGGGAAGTCGTGCGCTTTCTTTGAGTCGCGAACGAAGGAGACCTGAGTGAAACGAAGGCCAATTGTTCCGGTCTCAAGATTTTAATATGTAACAATTGGTAATGGAAGACATCAACAAGATAAAATTTAAGAATATTGGAAAAATAAATTTTAAGATAAAATAAAGAAATGTTGAAGGAATTTATGTTCATTTTAATTTTATAAAAAAGTTGTTTCTCCTTTTCCTCCTCTCTTTTCTCAGTAGGATTTTAATTAAACTATTGAATATAAATTCGCTTAAAAAGTCGAATCTTTTATAGGCTATGATAAAAGAGAAATCTGTGACAACAAATTATTGTAACGTACAATAAAATTAAATTTCAAGCGCGATAGCAGTCTTTGAAATAATATTTCCTAGAAATAGTCATTTATCTTCATTACTGTTAATCTTTCTCGATTTGTTAATGTAACGTCTAAATCTAAAAGATGCGAGATAATATGTTTTCGATTGATTGGTCATAGTTCGAGAGCCAACAATTCAACTCAATTCGCTCGCTGTATCTCCCCATTTTCCTCTCAACGCGCAGAGTCATCGATATCCTTCCGCGTTTCTCATCGATAGCCGTGCGAAATCGACGCGTGCGGCCGATAACGCGTAAAAACGCGTGATTTACCGGGTTTACGATCGTGGCGCGAGCACGCTTCGGGGCAGACAGACGGCCGCGCCGGCCACGATGGACGGCCAAGTCGTCTCGGACGGAAGTGGGTATATACACCTGGGCAAACCTGAGCGAAAGAGAGAGAGAGAGAAAGAACCGATGACCAGAGTATGCTTCTCTCCTCTCCCCCCTGTACGAGCGGCGGAACAAGGTTAGATGTTATCGCGCGCGATGCGAGTAGCCAAGTTCAAGAGCGGTGGAACGTGGAATCACGGGCGGGGATAAGGCGTGGGAACCTTTCCGGCCTTTTTTACGGACTGCAATTAAAAGTTCCTGCCGCGGCTGAGTGCGCCGAAAGCGAGTCCGGCACGCTTCGGGATACTAATGTCCTTTAGACATTGTCGAAATTACGTTTTTATAAGAAGAGGATAATTTGAAGACTTAATCTCGCGAAGGGATTAAAACCATATAGTTTGTAAGCTTAATCAACGCGTAAACTTTAGAAAAAAACACAATTTGCCTTCGCTCTCTTAGAAATTAAAAAATCTACAGAAATAATTCCGAGTATATATAAATTATAACGAACACACATTTATAGTAAATTATAACAATTAAAAGTTTATATAGCGTCATATTATATGATATATACGACGTCTTTAGTTATCACATATTATAATAAAATATTACGTAAGTATAACGTACGTAATGCCATAAATCTCGCAGCTCGATCGGGATAACACGTGGTACCAATCACGATAGCTCGATTTACAGGCCGTGTGACGGAGAGTTTAACGGGTGATCATAGCGAGTCGCACGGCGCGAAATGTTATCAACGGATCGATAGTTCGTCGGCGATGTTTCTGTAGATATCGCGATCAAACAAGTGGCTCTTTAACCGATAGTCGTAAAGAGCATTGTTCTCTTCGAACAAACTACGAAATAAAATTGAATTTAGTGCTTCGTTTCTTATTTCGAATCGAATTAAGAGGCGCGCGTTTCTTCTCGAAGTATAGTGCGACGAACAAACGGAGAGGTTTTCGTCATTGCACTTGCGATCCCAAGACACGTGTTTATTATGCCATTTTAAACCTCCATTCGAAGCTTGCTCCATATATCGGAGAAACATCGCCTCATCGCGACGACTTTTCACTCTTTTATTACAAAAAAGATATGTGAATGCGACAGAACAAGCAAACAGATCCTAGGAGAAACGCTTCAAGTGCCAAACTTAATGCAATAATATATGTATATATCTCAAGATATGTAAAAGATATATCCCGAGATTTCGGTTTCAACAAAAAGTGTGAGAAAAATTTCGATTAATCATTTCCATTTAGAGAAAAAGTGTAATAAATGTAGATATAATTAAAGTGACAAACAACATAAATTAAAATAAAACATGAAATAAAAAAAGAATTAAATAAAAAGTTGTCCAAAGTAATAACATTTTATAAACAATTTTTCTCTACAGCTTGGCACTTGTAACTTTCTCCTCGAAAAAATTTCGAACCCATACAACGCCATTAAAATGTTGCGGCGGCCTCGATATGATCACCAGTCGAGATCTATCGCTAATAAATTTCAAAAAGGGTTCAGTACAATGCATACCTTCCCGGCGCATGCCCATCTTCAGGCACTTTTTCAAGCGGCAAAACTGACATTGGTTCCTATGGTGTTGGTCGATGGGACAGTTTCTGTTCCCTCGACACGAGTACGTTAGGTTCCGCCTGACGCTCCTCTTGAAGAAACTCTTGCATCCTGAAAAGAAAAAGAGAGTTTGTTAAACTTAAATCCTCCAGAGATTAAGTTTGGTATATATTTAATAAATTTTAAATCTATTAAATAATTATCTTCTCGGATACATATAATTTAATTTTCCATAATTTAGCCTTATAATCTTGTAAATTTATTAAATAATATGAAAAGAAATGTTTAATTCCTTATAAAATAGCATGTTCCTTTAACATTTTAAAATTATATAACACGGCATTCGATCTTGTTGAAATACAACTATAAAAATGTATTTCCCGCTGTAAAAATTCAGCAGTCCGCAATTTAAATTTCAATACTTCAATAAAACTTTCTCCATTAATGTCATGTACAAGATTAGTCATCTCGTGTGTTTAATCTTCTATATAAAAATATTAACCACATCGCTGCGACACAATAAGAGATTATCTTTCTTTTCTACCAACATTCATATTAATTCGCAATACTCATGGTGTAATCGCGGAAGACGGAAGTTAGTACAATCGACCATCGATAAAGCATAAGCGATTATTAGCTAACACGTGCTGAAATCAAGATCTATCTAAATGCAGATGGTATGCAGATTCCTATTGATAGAGCGTGTATGAGCAGCCATAAACGTGACGGTACCAGAGTGCTTATGGAATAACACGATAAGTTTCTCCTGTTATTGGATACATCTCGCGCGTACACACGTACGTGCACATAAAGGTATACGCGTCGAAAAACGACGAAGATTGCGTAGCGCGATCAGAGAACTAAAGGGTAGAGGGGGAAGGGAAGACTCAAACTCGATGATACGTGATTACGCAAATTCTGTAACATGCACGTTGCAACGAGACCGATGCACCTTTAAGGTCAACGTAGGGAGCGCGGATCTAAGTTACGGTGGATGCACGATCTGGCACAATAGCGGCCCGCACACACACGCGCGCCACTCAATATAGGTATGTAGATACGCGATGCTCCTTATGGGAGCGAGCCGAGTATCTCTCTCGAAAGTGCCGACGATCACGAAAATCCTATTAGTAGCCGTCCAGTCGAGAGAGATCGAGTATCCGGCGCTCTCTCTTCTTCGTCATCGCGTCGACAAAGCGGGCTTTCGCCGCATTATTCCCGTTACCGCTCCACGGAATTGATGTGACTGCTGATTTCGATAACTCCGCGAAACGCGCGTCCCTGACGAGAAAATCTCGCTGGAAAATCTATTCTATGAAAGCTACTTTCATTCAGAAAAATTCGACAAAATTAAAATCATTTAATGTCGTTTATAAATTAACAATGCAATTAATATGAATAAATAAACCAGTCAGATTGACCTAAACAAGTGCACCTGAACAACTTATTATCGAGTAATTTATTTTTAAAGAATTTTGGACAAAATTAATTTTTGAAATTATATACAGACTAAAGTCTTGTGATCCCTTAAGAATATAAAATAATATTTATCCTTTTTGAATATATTTATTCTCGACTATATTAATCCTTTCAGATCCCATCATCTTTTTATACGTAAAAAAACTGTAAAGGCAAATGCACCGTAATAGCAATCATATCAAATCGATAGCTCGGCCGGCCTTTGATTGGCGCGCGAACGGTCGTGCTCGTAGCTTCTTAATGAGTGGTTAGCTTAATTACGAGTGGTAATGGAGTGGTGGATAATGGGCGAAAGGGGAGAGGAGGTCCGATAAAGGGCCACGGGGTGATGACGTGGTGCGACACAATTCAATTTAATAAACAGCGAGTAATAATTCCACGTCGTAAAAGCACGTGGGACACGCACGTGAGCCAGACCAGCGCCGGCCGGCGTGCGCGCGATACCGGGGTTAAAAGGTGATCGGGCTGCGCGCGTTGGTTTTAATTAAAACGGACCCCGCCGGATAAAACGCGCGAGCGAGCGCGCGCGCACCTGCGTGAGTGGTGATCCTAAAATCGAAGGTATCTCTGCAGGAAGTGCTTAAATTAACAAGTTTACGTATAAAAGCGAAATAGTGATATTCGTGAAAAACGAATTTCAAGATTTGATAAAAATCTTGTGTTAAAAGCATGGGGAACGTTGCGAAACGTTTCTAAAGATGTAATTTAAAAGGCTAATTCTTTCAGAATATATTAAGTGAAAAATAGGGAATATTATATATAATTATATATATTTAAAATTTTCTTTAAAATTTATTTCGTATTTTTTTTTTTTGCCGAAAACAAAATTCCGACATTTGCTCTCTCTCTCTCTCTCTTTCCTCGCGAGCATATGTATATTGTCCCTGTCTCATAGTTTGATTAATGAAATTGCTCTTAAATGCCGGAGACGTTAATAATTACGACACTACAAAGTTATCAGGTATAAACTTCGCAGTTCCTTTATCGTAATTTCGCTCGAAATTATTTCAGCGGATGGCGATAAAATCCGCGCGGGGTGTTTACGTATAAAAGCGAAATAGTGATATTCGTGAAAAACGAATTTCAAGATTTGATAAAAATCTTGTATTAAAAGCATGGGGAACGTTGCGAAACGTTTCTAAAGATGTAATTTAAAAGGCTAATTCTTTCAGAATATATTAAGTGAAAAATAGGGAATATTATATATAATTATATATATTTAAAATTTTCTTTAAAATTTATTTCGTATTTTTTTTTTTTGCCGAAAACAAAATTCCGACATTTGCTCTCTCTCTCTCTCTCTTTCCTCGCGAGCATATGTATATTGTCCCTGTCTCATAGTTTGATTAATGAAATTGCTCTTAAATGCCGGAGACGTTAATAATTACGACACTACAAAGTTATCAGGTATAAACTTCGCAGTTCCTTTATCGTAATTTCGCTCGAAATTATTTCAGCGGATGGCGATAAAATCCGCGCGGGGTGGAATTAACGGCGGCGCGATGTAAAGAATCGCGCGCGTACTTCATAAGGATTACGTGTACACTTCGCGAGAGTAGGCTCAACCTTAGGTGTAGCCCGAAGTCGGCTATCACGATCGATGGCACGACGTGTACACACAGATAAGTAGTTACCGTAGCTAAGTCGGCAATTTATATCGTAACAGGACGCCCGCTGCGCACGAACTTTCAAATCGAGATAAAGAGGTGGTGGCTTCGCTCGCGCGATCTGTAAGTCATTCGCGAGCTCACTATATTTGACGCTCTCGTTCTCTCGCGCGCAAGATCCTGAGGAGGCATCCTCTATCTCGCCGTCAAGATAGAGAGCGCGATATCGGTAACACGAGCGATCGCGTAAGAAAAGCGTGAGTCCCGCCGTGATCCGGGTATGAACTATTTAATGTCCCTTTTGACGAGTAAGATCAAATTATCACCCTTTATCGTAAATTATGAATAAATCAAAATTAAGAAATTTTATTAAAATATGGATATTTCCCCAATAATTTTAATAACTGTCTTATTATTATGTATATGAATCGGCGTTAAATATAAATGATAATAATGTAATCTCAAAGAAGTATCGCGATAGAAATTGAAATATATATAGATATACTTGAGATTGCATTAAGTAGAATTAAAAATTGTATAATGTCTATAATTTATTTATAAAATATTTTCTCTCTTATTTAATATAATCTACAAAATTATGATTGTATTAAAGACTAAAATTATTATTGCATCTCATTTCCAGAATTTTGAATCTTATTTTCTACAAATAAGAAATGAAAAATTAAACTCGTCAAAGAGAGATGGAAACCGATCCAGACTCGCATTAAATCTACGAGTCCTTCTCGTCTTTAAAACCTACGGTCCTTGGTCCAGCGTTATCGCTGCCGTTATCCCTGTCGTTGCCGACGTCGATGTCGCCGGTAGCGGCAAAAAACAACGGCCAAGAAGGAGCGGGGGAAGAAAAAAGACAGAAGGAGAGCCGGGTCGCCATAACTACAAATTGCATCGTTACACGCAAATTACGCGATTACTCTGTGCGAGCCAACCACCGGACGACCACGCAGTACACGTGAGCTCTGTGGTAGCGCGAGAGAAACGAGAGAAAGAGCAAGAAACATTGAGCGAATGGAGATGAAGAGAAAGAAAGAGAGAAAGAGAGAGAGAGAGAGAGAAAGTAAGCTCTCGTCGAGCACACACAACTACCGTTTATACTTTCAGATTGCAGCTTGCACGCTCGCCGCGAGCTCAAATTGCTTGCGTCGTTGAATTTTCATTGCTCGCACTAGTCCTTCGTGGCCGACATGACGCGTTCCGAGTGCCAACTCTTGGAGGAACAAATCCTCACTATCACACGAGCATCGATGAAAGAACCTTAATCCATTCAGTCAGACTGATGTCATATGGTATCTCTCTCAATTGTGGATTTAAGTACTTGGACAGCTAAAAGGCATAAATTGCCCTCTTAGGCTTGCTACTTAAAATGCGCGATTAAAAATATAAAATTTTAAAGATGCTTTATATATACGGCAGTACATACGGTGTTATATATTGTAACAGAGTGTATTATCGCTGAGCATTGCAGAGTAATATACTATTAATCTTGCTACACAAACATAATTTAACATAATTTCCGTGCTTTTCTTTAATCACGATTTAATTTCAGATAATCGATTTTCAATAGCTGTGATTTTTTTTTGTAAGAGAAATTTTATGGAGCACTTTTGTAGAAAATAAAGGATATTGCTGATTAAGGTAGTACGTAAAGTTGTCGAAATATTCGATCAATTCCCTTAATTAAGGTCCCATTTGAGACGAAAGAGTAAGCGTTCACTATTCTATATTAACACCACGAAGACAGTATTTCGCTGTTGCTTATCCCGCAAAAAAGATGCCGCCTGGAGGCCTGATCGGCTTACTGTCGCGCTTAATGAGAAGTTGATTTAATTTTAATAGGTTGTGCGTTACTCATAGTCGTGGCCACGATAATTACGTCGCAAAATTGACGCGACGTCTTCCTCATTGACGCGTAAATTCGCATATTAATCGATTCACCCTTCATCGTGATATGTAAAATTATCGGCAACATTATCCACAATGTGTATGAAAAACTTCAGAGAAAATCAG